ACTGGGTGTGTCAGATACGCAGACGCTAATATAATGCGGTGATTACTGTGTCTCCTCAGTGAATATGTAAAAGTTAGCTTGGTGTTTTAAGAACCACGCACAGTGACCGATAAACAAACTTAAGTCTGGCTGTGTTTACCCAGGAGTAGTACAACGTTGACTGTAACCCCAAGGCTTCATGGGACACTCAGAACATAACTCAAGTCCAGAGATCCTGAACAAATCCAGCTTGGCATCTTTGATACATGGAGACTTCTTAGACTATTTCAAGGTATCACTGAACTGGGAGAAGTGCTTTTTGTGATACCCACCAGTACATTTGTTGGGGAACTTCACTGTAGCTACAGTGCTCACCATTCCCCATTTTATCAGCCTCATAAGATATAGACTGTGTGATCCAATCAAATGGCCAAATCAGGCACTAGAAACAAGCCCCCAAAACTTTGGTGTGAAATTCAGCTTTAGAAATCCAAATGCAACTATAGGAACCTAGGGAACTCATGAACTTATGGCTATGCAGTTTAAACAGGAAACATACAAAATACAGCTTATGCATTCACACAGCCTGGGCTGTTTCATTACAAACAGGTGGGCAGGTACACAAACAAATAGATAACACATTGGAAAGCACATATCCTGACATGTGCAAACACCTAAGGACAATTAATAGTAGTGGCCAGCCAGCAGAAGCAAGCCCAAGATAGAAAAAGGTGGATTTTTAATGGAAGTCTTGAGGATATTTCCTATTTCTCTGGAGGTGTTGTCATCAAGTCTGGCAACAAATTGTCAAGCGCCCTCTAGCTTCTTTGTGAATTATATTTATTCCTGAAAGAGCTAAAGAATCCCAAAAGACCATGACTAACGAGCACTCCAAGGGATATCTGAAGTCTCTCCATATCCCTCGTACACTGTGTGTAACCATTCAGTATTGAGTACCCAGAACTGAACACGGCGTTTCCAGCGCTGTTTCATCATATCTCAGAGACATACTTCCTCAGCAGGCTATTTGGATCAAAGACTTAAGGCAACATCCCTGAAAGACAAGACAAGGCAACACACAGGGGAGACTTTTTCACCATCTGTGTCCATTTTAATTTGCTGCACTCCCATATGTCACCAGGGGCTGTAGGATGTTCAATTGGATCCTGTGTCATGTGCATTCATGGGAGTATAGGACAACAAGGTCTTCATGTCCTGTTTCCTACAGCCTCAGACAATGCAGCCCAGGAGACTCCACAGAACATTTATCCCACTAATGTCACACATCAACTTTCCAAACGACCAGTGAGAAGTAGAATAAGGTAAGTTTTATGGCCTGAAGTGAGGCAGCCATTCTCATTCTTAGTTTAAAGCAGCTGACAATGACAAATTAGGCATTTTACAGAGGTAAAATGTACAGAGGTATAGTATCATTTCCCTGATCTTTGATACCTGATTATAGAGAGCATAATTTCTTATTTGAAGAAGAATGCTCTATGGATAAAAATACATAAATCTGTGGATATTATATCTGAAAAGTGAGAAAAAGCAAAATACTGATGTGCACATAATCTGAATTGTAGGTGCAGACAAGTCCGTTCCTCCAGTTAGCTCTGTTGACATATCTTGCAAAAATCAAGGCCAGTAACTGAAAAATTAATTCTCAAGTCTGATGAAGCAGTTTTCTTCAACCACTTTTTATGAAAAGTACAGTGATACAATATTTTTATATTGATGTTTTATATTAGGTCAACTCCAGTTTGTATTTACAGTAAGTATTTTCTTAGATAAGGCTCCCATTTCACAGTAGCTTAGCTACACTAACAGATGTGTAAATCAGAAAGAGTATGGGCCTCTAGAGATGGCCCAATAGATGTGAACATACTAAACATCACCATTGTAAGTAAGCAGGAGATGAGGCAGTGTGGAGTTGCCTGCTAAATTTTGCCTCTGTTTAAACATAAAATGTGTCACAAAGGGCACAGTTGGACATTTATAGCTTAACACATGTCCCCCAGCAGGTACATGAAGCTACTCTAGATAAGCCCAGACACAGCTGGAAAACAGTTCATGGGTCCCCCAAGGCAAATTTCACCTAGTCAGAAAATGCATCTGTTTTTCTCCCTATAACGTAGCAATGGTGAGTGCCAAAGACTTTGTAACATTCACACAGGCTGCCTGAATCCTGCTGACGATGAAAGGCTAAGGTCAAGCTTTGTACTTCTGGCATTGGCAACACATTTCAGGGCCTCTAAAACAGAGTCAGAGAAATTCACTCATTGGGATGCCTGACCCTCAGGGCAGTAAAAGTATGAAACAAGCAAGGAGGGCAAGTTCATATCTCAGTAGGGCACAGTTGGAAGACAGTTCATATTGGCAGGGCCCTAGCATGGTTATTACTCTACCCCTGCATAACAGTGCAGGAGGATGCTGACAGATCAGAGCACAGGCGAGAACAAAACCAACTGTCTCTCTGTGCATTCAGCTGTTAGAAACATAGTTTAATTGGTTCCCTCTGTATACACGGCTGCAAAAGTAGCAAAGGACTAACGTCCCCTCATGTTTGGTCAAGATCTTGGTTTCTTTCATCTGTTGTGCAGATGCTGATGGGGTCGCCTGCCTGGAGGGGGTCAGGATTCTGCCAAATGGATTTAAGCAGGGTACTCACAGTCCAGGCATCTCAGCTTAATAGCCAGTGACTCAGTGAGAAAACCAAGACTGTCTGCACAAAAGGATGGCTCCATTCCTGACAACATTTGTAAGAAAGAATGACACCCTGACAAACCCTCTCTGCAATTTTGTGCTGTTTAATCTAACAAGTAAACCCATTCTACCTAGTTAGAGCAGGTCTCTTACAAGCAGTCATTACTGGAAGTACCTAAGTGTGAGTACCACTCTCAGTGCAGGCAAAAGCCTAAATGAAGGGTGGAGGTGGTAAAGAGAAGAATTGGGAAATATAAGTAGATGCTTTGGGGGGGGCAGAACATAGGTTTAGGAGAAGAAAGGAAGGGGAGGAGTGCAAATCCTTTGCAGTAGGGTGATACACTTGTATTCTAGAAGCAGAGTTTGGGTGAATACATGGCTTACCTAAAAGGCAGGAGACAAAAGATAACAATGATAAAGGTGGTGTTACAATATTTTAGTTAATTGCCATGCCTTCATCAAAGTAACATGTCAGAGCATATAGAATCATAGAATATCCTGAGTTGGAAGGGACCCTTAAGGATCATCAAGTCCAACTCTTGACACCGCACAGGTCTACCCAAAAGTTCAGACCATGTGACTAAGCGCACAGTCCAATCTCTTCTTAAATTCAGTCAGGCTCGGTGCAGTGACCACTTCCCTGGGGAGCCTGTTCCAGTGTGCAACCACTCTCTCTGTGAAGAACTTCCTCCTGATGTCAAGCCTAAACTTCCCCTGCCTCAGCTTAACCCCGTTCCCGCGGGTCCTGTCGCTGGTGTTAATGGAGAAAAGGTCTCCTGCCTCTCGACACCCCCTTACGAGGAAGTTGTAGACTGCGATGAGGTCTCCCCTCAGCCTCCTCTTCTCCAGGCTGAACAGGCCCAGTGCCCTCAGCCGTTCCTCGTATGTCTTCCCCTCCAGGCCTTTCACCATCTTCATAGCCCTCCTCTGGACACTCTCCAACAGTTTCGTGTCCTTTTTATACTGTGGTGCCCAGAACTGCACACAGTACTCAAGGTGAGGCCACACCAGCGCAGAGTAGAGCGGGACAATCACCTCCCTCGACCTACTAGCGATGCCGTGCTTGATGCACCCCAGGACACGGTTGGCCCTCCTGGCTGCCAGGGCACACTGCTGGCTCATATTGAACTTGCTGTCTACCACGACCATACACATAACTGAAAAATAAAAAGGAGGAGGGGGTGTCTAACCTACCTGCAATGAGAGTGTTTATACAAGAGTGCAGACTCCTGTCAGGTTACAGGCATCTGAATAAGCCATGCTTCAGTTTCATGGAGTGCTAAGTCCATTAATATTTGTAAAGTGCTTGGAAATTTTTCAAAGGAAACTGCTGAATGGAAAAATAAATTGCTAACTATATAAAATCTCTTCCCTTTATCCTCACACATTGATATAATGTAAGATTGAAGACAATATTCTCATGGTTTAACTTATGCTGGTTAAATAGAGCATTGCTTCAGTTCCGTCAGAAACAATCTGGTTAATGAGCATACCATACCCACTGCACTCAAGGGCTTGATCTTAAATCAATGGGAAATACAGATCCAGTGGCTGATGATATATTGACTACAGGTTTTCAGAGAGGAACTGGACTGTTGTAACATTTTGGGGGAACAAAATAGTTCCATGTCAGAGGGAAATCATGTTACATGTTAAAAGTTAAAAGAGTCCAGGAAACTTCTACACACAGATCAGCAGAGGCAAGGACGCTTATAGGATTCTACAGTAGTTTCATTCCTTCTTGAAAAGGTTGCTCTCTTTGACCTGACAAGGAAAGGAGCAGAATTGGCAGGCTGATGCAGAGCAACATGGAATTCCCACATATTTCTGTCACAGCCTTCTGAGATTTGAAAGAAAACAGATGACAGCCTAGGACCAAGAGCGTGCAAATAGATTAATGATTTTTCAAGACCAGCCTGAAACATCTAAAAATAGCTTTAAACATTTTTTAAAAGCACTGAGCTTCCCTAGAAAATGGAAGCACTGGCAATATTTGTTATTCATTAAACATAGTATTGATAAGTACACCTGATTAAAATGTTGAGATTTAGAGAAATATTTAAATCAAAAGAAAATGCAAAGCATTTCTAAAAATAACTGGAGGAGTGCTAGCAAATTAAATCCTTTCTGCAAAAAATTGACAGTGTTTGTAATCCAGTTTTCAAATGGGGAACAGGGAGAGCTGCCAGTCGCTTTCTTTCACTGGCAAGAAGGTACAGACAGTACTAAAAATGAAAGTATATTTTCTCCATGTTCATTCTTGACATTGAAAAGACTTCTCTAAAACATGAATAAGTTTCTGAAGGTTTATGAAGTACCTGATCAGGCTCCTCAGCCCACATTTTAGGAGTATGACTGTTTCTCCTGCACAGAACAGCTGAAACATCCAAGGATCTTCAGTGTTTTGACTCTTGAAGACTACAGGAATATAGAAATTGACTTCAATGGCTCAGGTCAGAAGTCCATCAAAACTAGTATCTTATCTCCAAGATACTTCTAGTAGTATCTTATAGTATCTTCTTGTATCTTGTAGTATCTTCTTGTAGTACTTCTTGTAGTATCTTATCTCCAAGATACTACAAGATTGGTCAGCTGTAAATGGTTAGGGATATCAAACAAAAATACCATACATAGTCTGATCCTACTCCTGCTCAATTCTTTTAGTTGTTCAGGACCAGAAGATGGGAGTACAGCCAGATAATCAGGTTTAATAGCTACCAGTGGACCTATCCCCTGAGATTTCTCATCTCTTCCCACAGCTTTGTCCTGGGAGAAGTGTTTTGCTGCATGATATCAAAGCCATGAAATGTAGACTTGCATGATCAAACCCAGCCTTGATTATGCTCATTGGCAGAAGTGTTCCTTCTCCCTACAGTACATGTATTTCCTTTTTTAATTTACAGAAATTCCCTGGGAACATATCTTCAGCACAGACCTTAAAAAGCAAAATTGGACCTGATGACTTATTTTTAAGATGAATATTTTCCTATGGGGGTATTGTGTAAACTGCAGTGTCTTAAGACTTCATGGCTTATTAATTCAGCTATTTAAGCAGATAAAAGCATTGTTCCTTGAAAGAGCAAACAAAATACAAAGCCCCTCAAACCAGGCTTGTTCACTACCTTGAAAAATAAAAGCTGTAAGAGTAAAAATGCTTCCTTGTTAATACCTTCTTTAAAAGGTGATACACCAAGGAGACAAAGGAGAGCTTTTGGGTACCACAGATACGCTTTGTCCTCAGTTCAGAGAAGATTTGGGCTGGCACAAGCATTGCCTGCATTTAAGTCATTCTGGGACACAGTGAAGAAGAAAATACTCTGAATGAAAGCAAATGTCAACTTCAAAGCTCATGACCAGTAATATCAACTGCAGTTATTATTACTTTGAAGTCAGCAAAACTAGGAAATGAGCAAGCACTTGTTATTCAGGGAGGGAGCCTATTCCTCCCTCACTGCCAAGTTTTCCTCTGTTTCTCAAGGTTACTTCTCTTTCCATTTTCCTGCAGTCTAAACACATCATTCTGATCTCCCGCCCCTACTCCTTAAATTCCATCTTGTCCCTTTCTTATCTACTTCCCTCTTTCCACCTTAAGTCTCTCTAATTCCTAACTCCAGAGAACCCTTATCACTGGTATAAGCCTGCAATACTCTCAGAATAACTTTTCTACTAAATCCAGAAACCACAGGAGCTTCTCTTGGTCAGGTTTGTTACTCAGCGTTGTCCCCAAACTAAAAAACTCCTACTATGAGAAGATATTATCTGACACCACAGAGATCACTGGAGAAGCCAGAATTTCAAACGTTGAAATACCACATGGAAAACAAATTGAAAATATAACTCTAACATGCAACATGAAATCTGGACAGCATGTACACTGGACACAAACCTTAAGGGAAATACTTGGTAGGGAAAAGCATGTTTGACCATTATCAGGCCCACATTTAACAGACAGCCCTAAGAAATCTTGAGCCTGTGTTGCCAGCGGGAATGCTTAGTGTGCGATGTGTTCATGGTCATGTGGCTACATGGTTCTCAGCAAATCAAAGCAGGGCACATCCTGGATATTTCAAGAAAAACAGAATATGAGCACAGGACTGACATACCAAAGCTCATGGGAGCTTCTGGCAACATGGGATACATTCCTCTGTGACTTCTGCTGCTGTGAAACAGCAGTAACTTCGCTGACTTGCAGAGAGTTACACTGCTGTAAAAAGCACGTGAGAAGAATCAAACCCACTGTGTAGATTTGCCCAAGCCAGTCAGCCAACATTTCAAAAGCAGCTTATAATTTTGGCTGTCTTAGTTTTCAAGCATCTCAGTGCCTTAACGAGACACTAAAAATAAAGAGCCAAAATTACAGGTTACTTTGCACAACTTGGGACTCAGTTTCTCTGGACCAAATTCTGATGCTATTTGAACTTACTTCTAATTGAAGCCTAGAATAAGTTTTCTGAACAATACAGAATTACAAAAAATGTTTGACTAGTACAAATGACAGCAGGCTTGCACTGTCTGTGCCTCAGGTCACTCATTACCACTATGAAGGCACTGAGCCAAATCCTCAGCTGAAATACATTTGTCCTAGCTACATGGGAGCCCCACACCTATTTACACTGGCTGAGAACCCATCCTAATAAATCCCATTTAACTAATTTACATAGCTCTATGAAATTTAATACCTACACAGAGCTTGGAAGATAAGTCCTCAGCCTGATACACACAGAGTAGTACCAAACAGAAGGAACTTCAGTGTTAAATGGAACTGCCAAAAGAGGAGAAATGAGTTAAATTTATTGTGTGTTAGTATAGATCCTGAGTCATACGACTACCAGTTTTCTGGAATTACATCATTTCAAAGGAGCGGATTATTAGGAAGCATGGCTAGTGAAACAGAAGAGTATTAGAGACACTACTGTCAATCAATAACACAACAAAAAGCAGAAGAAAATACACACAAATTATTCCACCCAATGAAAATTAGAGCAGTCAGTTTTCTTTTAATTGAGGAACATGCTGTGCTCACCTGGGGCTGCAGGAGCAGGGAAGAGAGAGGGTCAGATCACCATAGGATTGACCCAGGTTTGAAAATTCATAACAATTAAAGCACCAAGAGCCAAACCTCCCACACATCCTTCCCCTAAGTGTCAGGAAATGGTGTCCCCTGATTGCTCAACAGCTGGGTCAGATGGCTGGCCTGGGGTGACTAGATGTTTTTTTGGGATTCCATCGGACCTTGGGGGAAATTTTATGGCAATTAAGGCAGATGGAGCAAAACCAGAACTATCTGAGATGCCTTCGAGCTCTCGTTGTGCCTCCCTGCCAAAAAAATGTAGTCAGTGCATGCCATGTCTGGACTTAGTAAGGAAAATTTTTGGAACTGATTTCAAGATGAACCGAATGATCTCTGCTCTACGTGAGGAGCACAATCAAAATAACCAGCAGGAACAGCAGCAAAGTGATACAGTGTGGTAAGGCCACTAAGATATTCAGAGAATTTGCTTACTCAGCTCTCTGAAACCATGAGACAGCATTTCAGTACACATAATATAGACCTCTAAAACCTCAGGGCTGCACTGTGACTGTACTAAACTCTAGTAGGGAACTGCTTTCTGTTTCACAAAGCAAAACTGAAAAGACATCTGCCCTGTCTGCATAGTGATTATTTCATACACATCTAAGGGTAGTGTCCATCAGTGGAAGAACTATCATTTCCCTGGCTGATATAGGGAATCTAAACTCAAGGATGCTGAGTGATAGCCCGTGACTTCTTATGAGACGCTGTTTATCTCTTGCAAGATCAGTAACTCTTTTCCCAGTTCCCTTCCCATCCTTCCCCCACAGGGGATAACTTCTCCCCTGTACAGCCCACAAGGAACTTCCAAACTCACAGCACCCTGCAGGTTGTGTAATTCCCCAGTGGGATTCCAGGGTGGAGGACAGAGTGAGAAACTGAAACGGAAAGGAAGCAGTCAGCTTAAATTACCACAAATGTGGAATTTTCTCCTCCTTGGTCCCTCTTCCCACCCTCGCAGCTTTCTCCAGTTAGTTCTAAATTGCCCAATGCACTTGAAACAGATCAAGTGCTGAATCAAATAAAGTATCCTTTGCTCCCAGACACTTGTCTCAGATGTTAAAGCTCTCAAGCTTTTACTGGGGCAAACAGGTTCCTAACAAATTATTAGAGTTTTTAAGGATTTGTTTTCCTTCACATTGCCAGCCAACATGATAAAGTAGTTTCTAGGAAAAGGAGCTGCTAAGCTGCAGGGAGCAAAATCTGGTAAGAAATAAAGCAGAAAAAGGAAAAGGGTTCTGATATATCAGGGTAAAGCAGCGCAAACCCCAAATCAACTCCTTCCAAGTCCGGAGGCTCCACTTCCAAAGTACGTTCCCAGCTCTAAGATCACAGGCTCCCTTACACACGCACTCAGTACGGTCACTTTTTCTCAAGCTCAATCTACCTCGCTTTGCACAGCATGGCACCCCCAGCAGCAATTAGCCCTTCAATATCTGCCCAGTAAGGGCCACCCCATCACACCACCCAACACAGTGGCTATTTCAACCACACAGCCACAGAGATAGGGACGTGCCTGCAGTTGCTTTCAGGACAGCTAATTCTGCCCAGTTGCATCTGCAGGGGTGATTCCTGTAAAACTCTCTTCTCCCCATCCTCACCTTCACTTCCTCCTGCCTCATCAACCCACTCTGCCACCTCCAGGGGTAAAAGCATTTGCAGCCTTATTCTCTCACCAAAACAACTCAGCCCAGGGAGCAGTAACTTGCAACAACCTTTCTTGCAACTGCTTGTTGGCTGAAGCCAATTACAAGCAGCATACCGCACTACATTGTGCAACTCACTTAGCTCCTGCTTCTCAGCTCAGCTTCATGCTCATGTTCAAGAGCATCAGGTCTCCCTCCAGCACCTGTCCACAGCAAGCACCCTCTAAATGGCAAATAACTTTCCAGAGCTGCAAGTGCTAGCTAAGTACACCAGCTTCATACAGGAAGCAACAAACACTTCCACCCACCTGGGGAAGCCAGCTGGTTCTGTCAAGGGTTTGATTAGGGAAGATGCCACTGAGGATGACAGCTGTGGCCCCAAAACTGCTCCCACCTCTGCTGAGGATTGAATGAGGGGCATCCAGGTGGGTGAGGGTAGAGGGAGGTAAGGTTAACGGCACTAAATTTTAACTGTAAATAAATAAACTTGAGTGCCCCACTGAAAACACCTCATCTCCGTGGGGCAGGATTGGGAATCTCTGGATTGCTGAGGTTAAAAAAAAAAGAAAAAAAGAAAAAAAAAAAAAAAGAAAAAGAATCACTAAGAATACTTAAGATTTACACTGTTTGTCTGCAGTATTACCTCTGCAGGTTTTTCACTAAGAGAATTCTATTCCAGTAGCTGCCTCCTGCATGTGTCACCCTGTTACAGCTAATTTCTGGATGTGAGATGCCTTTTCCCTCTGCAGAAACAGTGGTTTCCCGTAATATCAAGCTATTGCAGACTCAAGGCACTAAGTTTGTCAGACTTAGCAAGCAATATCCTATACTCGCATTAGGATTTTTTACCATCAAGAGCCTGGCAAACAGAAGTAGGATAGGACTGCACTGTCAGAGAGCCAGGAAGTTTCCTGACCTCCCCATAAGGAAAGAGGAGCTATTTGCTGGACAACATGACAAGGGATTAAAGAGTTAAACAGATTCTACATTGTGAAATGCACTAAGGAAGTTGGGTTTTGCCTAGGGATTATATGGGATTTTGCTATTCTGATACCAGAACATGAAGGAGATGGATTTTAGTTAATTTTGTAGTCTTCCAAAGATATGTCCTTGCCTCTCCTTTCCCACCCTCCCTCATCCCCCATCACCTCCATCCATTTACAGAGTCATGCAATAGCCTGCATGGTCAGCCCCTCTGCATACCTTTGGGAGACGCAATCAAGCCAAACCTGAATCCTTGTGCTGCCAAGCTGGCTTCAGGATCTTTCAGAGAAGAATTAAAAAGAAAGGAAAAGAAGAAAAAAAAAAAAAAAAAGAAAGAAAAGAAAAGGAAAAAAAAAAAAAAAAAAGCAAGCAGTACTTGTAGGGATTTGTTCTTGAAAACAAGCAAAAACATGAGAAGAGTTGCTGCAGCAGCTGCACTTACACTGTAGTGCCTGTGTCTCTGTGCAGTTCTTCCCTGTTCTGCAGCCCTATAATCCACATAGAGAAATGCCTCTGCTGTTCCTCTCGCTGGCTGTACTGTTGCAGTGAGACTGGAACTGCTGCTGTTTTCAGTTTCAGACCAGCCTCTCTCTCCAAATCCTCTGACGTCAGGCAGCCTCTAAGAGATATTTATGGCATGAACGGTCTAAAAGTTTCTCTAGGTAAAGCCTAGATTGCAGTTCTTTGGGATTTGTAAATTTTACACCTTTGGATAGAAACCACTCCAAGGGGGGTCAGGGAGGAAATGGTGGGCAACTACAGATGTGGTTGTGTAAGTCCCTGGCAAAAGGCAATCCCTGTACTTTTCTGCCCATGGTATATTATATCCACACCCAGGATGTAACTATCTGCCATGCAAGTCCCCATTTGGAAAGCAGTATTTTCCAGTCTCTCAGTTGTGCCTAAACAGTGTTCGCTTCAAGCCTGGCAAAGAGGCCTCGCTCCTAGCCCACAGCCCTCCGCTGTGTCTAGGCTTTGACTGGATTTAACCAAAAGAGGAGTGAAACAGCCCTCTCAAGCATCTTGTCCACATCCTCTTTCAGTTTTGCACTAAACCCTTCCAGCTGGAACATTTTTCCAGACGTGTGGGCCAGCTTCCCTCCTAACTTTAAAATACCTTCTAGAAGTGTCTCATCTCAGATAAATACCAGCTCAGAAAATTCATTTGATCTTTGATCTGTATTATTCTCTGCCTATTTGCATCTCTATTTCTGTTATTTCTTTGGTACATGCCAGCTTACTGCACAGTACTATATATTCCACTTGCTGTGAAAGCCACCTGTTACGTAAAAGATATGTTAGAGCAAAAACCAAAGCAGAAGTAGTAGCATTAATGTTAAGCAGTACCTGAGGAGCAAAATGCTCTCATGGTATAATCCTTTTAAGGGAAGAGGTGACAAATTTCAACTGATAAGACCTCTTTGTTTTGCATGTAGGAGCTGAGGTTGGCTGTAAGCCTGTAAGTATCCACAGTTCCATCTAAGAGATGAGGAAACTGAGGCTTGAAGGTGAAGTGATATATGTTGAAAGTTCTTGAGTGGTGGTTACAGACAGACCTCTATAAGAAGTTTAAAACTTATTCAACGTCTTCTGGATGGAGGAGTCTACAAATGTGCTGCTATTATAAGCAACTGTTATTTTTTTTATACCCCATCATTTCCATTTGTAAACAGTTAAAAGAATTCTGTGTCCTGGTACCACTTTTGGAGATGCGAGTGCTATTTCAAAACTTAAAGCCAAAGCTCTTTTCAGTGCAACTTACTGGCAGAGTAATTTTACCATGTGAAGCTGTGTGGATTGTTTTTTTCATGAGCATATGCTTTCTCTCTTCTGCTTCTCTCTTCTCATCATCATCTTTGGGCATGGGCCAGGGCTCTTTCAAATCAATAAATATTATCTGATCAACTTCAAAAGGCTTCAAATCAAGTTTCTTCTGATAGTTTTCTGATGGCAGCTATCCCCATACATTGCTGTATCATCACTATGACTAAAAAACCTTGAGAGAAACTCCAAAAGAAAAGGGTGTCTTTCTGAAAAGATTTCCATTTTTGTACTTATGAGAGAGGTTTAAGAATCTGGCAGATTCAGGAGCAAGAAAATATTCTCAGCCCCAAAGCAGTATTCTGTTGAGCAAAGGAAGTAAAATATTTTTGTGTAAAAGAAAAGTACCCACTTAGAACTATGCAATTCAAACATCAGAAAAGCAAGGGTACTGTCTCCTCTGGCTATTAGATTTGCCACTTGTCATTTTAAGATTAGCAAGGATAATTCAGGATGTGACTCCCCACCCTGCCATGCTGCACACTCTTCTTGAAGATCAGCCCTGGAGTTCAGTCACTGCCTGTTGGCAGCTTGTCCCAAAACAATCTGCAGGAAATTCTGAAGGGCAGAACGATTCAGGGCTTCACTGTAAAATAGCAGAGCTGTTCCTTGTGGATTGTTCCACCTCTGAGCTGTTTTCACTGACTCAGCTGCTGTGGTTAATAAACTTTCAAAAGCACAGCAAAGACTTCTGTTGTTAGCTGAAGATAAGATGTTTATCCATGACTCCTGCTTTCTCTGATGAATATATAGGATTATAATATATCTACTTCCTTAAGAGGGGAAAAGGAAGAACAGTGGAAACTGTGACTATCACACAGAAGTTAACCATTAATAACTGTAGCCTGTCTTACGCTGTGACCTAACTGCAAGTGGGATGTCTTCATTATAAAAGACTCTGCAACAAGACTGAAATGCCAAGAGACTGAAATGCTCTGGCTACCCATGATACAGGCAATGACAGGGAAAGCTGCCTGTGTCCCAGTAGCACACTTCATTTCTGTCCTGAAGGGATATGCCTCTTAACATGTAGTTAGCTCACAGATACAGAAGGCAGAACATCCATCCCCACTCAGAAGTGCTACAGCATTCCACTTACTGCAGATTAAGACAATATTTCCACAAATCTTTTGTATTTCTTTCCATAAAATATATATTTTTGAAGTATATCCAATTGTGTATGGTTGCATACTCATAACCTGTACACTGAATCACATAAGACTTCCCTCCACAAGAAGCAACAGGAGCCCTTTGCAGAACACAACACTATGATATGAAGAGCATGATGATCCCATCTGCAGACAATACATAATTTTGTTTCATATACAGGAGAACCAGGGCCTTCTCCAGTGGACTAGGAGTGTGTGTACGTGTGTGAGCACAATTTGCTCCATTTTAAACATGATTTATTTAAAACAGCACTTCTCCCAAAAGATTCTAGAGGTAGGCACCTTTAGAGGGTGAAAATCATCTTTGTGCACAGGACCAACAGAAATGTAGGCGTTACTCAGTCCTAAAAAGCAGAGAATAGAGTGGGACCCTCTGCATCACTAGCACATGACTGGCAAAACAAGAGAGCATGTGTTCCTCAGCTCCAAAACAGTCTTGTTATATATTCACAGGAGCAACCACTCTAGTTATCACTCCCTTAGTGCTGTGTAACAAAATAATAAACCAAAGGAAATGAAACCGTATTCAAATACCATTCTTGCTGCCATAGTGGAACAGACCATTCAGATCCCTAGGCCTGTACGCCGCCTCAAGCAGTAGATACCTGATGATTCAGAGCATGAAGAATGGAAAACACGATACATCCAGCCAGCTGTGGACTGTAACATTACATAAGAAATGGGGGGGGGGGGGGGGGGGGGGAGGGAAGATAGAAAATACTTTCTTTAACTCCACGGTTGATCGTTTACACCCTGAAGCATAAGGTTCATTCAGATGCTGTCTTTTCCCTTGCACTACATTGCTATGAATGTTATTTCTGCATATATTTCAGCTCTGGCAACCAGCCAGTGTTTTTTTTGTTTTGTTTTGTTTTGTTTTGTTTTTTTCCAATCCACTGAAGTCAGGAAACGCAAAGTTATGGCATATGTTCAAAAGAATAGCACACACCAAAGCATGCAGAGAGCTCTATCTTTGTCCTCAGATGCACACAGCCTTGGCCGTAGTTTTTAAATCCACCCGGTGATTTTCCTTTCATTTTGCATGACAGAATCCTATCCTCTGTGTATTTTGGCACCCAGATTTAATTCACTACTGGACTGACCAGATTGAAACCATTTGCAGATCTCCTAAATGCCTTCACTTCTAATGCATGGAACAGCACCATGGTTTGCCAGGTGCCAGTAACCAGGTGCGAAGGGAAGCTGGTGCCATGTTGCAGATGGGCATGTGCCAGCAAGAAGGATCATTCTAAG